ACAGTGAGACTTAGTGTGTCTCAGCCTTCATGCTGTGAAAGAAGGAAAATGACAGTGGCCTGTTTCCCCAGTATGAAGGAAAGCCTGGGAAGTCTCACACAGAGACCGGAAGATGAGAAGAGGCACGTATAAGGCAAATGTAGAGAGAAAAAACCTGGAATTTTCCAGCTTGGCTGGAAAACTTTCAACTCCTAAAGATGTTCAGCCTTGGACACCAAGGATGACAAAGCTTCTAGCAAGTGCCCAGATACAGGCAGGAGGGCCAAGAGGCTGTGCTGAGTCTCAAGGGCAGCCAGAGCTTGCAGGTTACTTGACTGAGTTGTAGCTAAGCAGGGAGAACTCTGCAGCTGTATTATAAGCCAGCACCTGCATCTGGCTGTCCCCTCAGGCAGTCTTCAAGGTAAATTTGAATTAAAGGTGTATATAACTGCAAGGAACGCTACTGCTGAAAAATGCTCGTGACCTCTTAGTCAGAGTTCAATGCTATTTCAGGACAAGCATGACATGACCGAACTTAAAAAGCAAGGGCAGATCCTGCCTCTCAGCCTCACAACCAAAAAGGACGTATATCACAGCTGTCATCAAAACACACCCTCCTCTCCTTTTCCCAAGTACTGCCAACAAGCCACACGATGAGACAAGCCACATCCTTTTACGTCCAGACCCAGGTGGTCAGACGTCAGGTAGGAAGAAGGTCTGATGTCTGGTGGCACCACAGCCTAAGCCACCTCTACGCGCCCCCCCGATGGTGTGGATACAACGTGCTGAGCTTTTCTTCCCCTAGCGCAGAAGGAAATACCCATGACGGAAAAAAGAAAATGCAGTCCTCTGAAAACAACTGTTGGGGGTAACACCAGATAGTCTGAAAACAGGCATTCACAAAATTAATGACTGCAATGTGGTTTCCTCTAAATATTCAGAATCATAGATGCAAATATATTCAAATTAAGATCTGAACAGTAGAAGATGCAAAGTTAGAATGTAGGTATATCACCTAAGTTTGTTGATTACATTTTGTCACAGGGCGAGTTCTGAGAAGCAAGGATAAAATATTTTTTCTTTCTCAGGCTGTTTCTCAGGCTGGCACCTTCACCTGAAACATGTTACCTTCACTTTGATTTGGGTGTCTTAAAGCAGCCACAGCCCTTCCAAAGGCACGAGGCACCTGCTGTGCTGCCGCCCACTGATGGGGTGCTTGTGCCCAGCATCTTATGATACTGTTTTACAGAGATGAAAGAGACACCTGTCTGGAGGTTTTGCTCCCCAAGAGTGGTATTGGACGTGGCAGGGTGAGAGACAAACCCACAGCTATTGAGCAGAAGGCTCCACAGCCAGACATGAAGAACAAGGAAAATAAAATAGAATCACAGAATGTCTTGGGTTGGAAGGGACCTCTAAAGGCCACCTAGTTCAACCCCCCTACCACAAACAGGGACATCTCACACTAGACCAGATTGCTCAGAGCCCCGTCAAGCCTAACCTGGAATGTCTCCCAGGACAAGGCCTCTCCATCCCTCTAGGCAACCTGTTTCAGTGATCCACCACCCTCATATTAAAGAACTTTTTTCCTAAGGTCCAACATAAATCTACCCATTACCTCTTGTCCTATCGTTACATGCCCTTGTGAACAGGTCTTCCCCAGCCTTCTTACAGACTCCTTTCAGGTATGGAAGGTTGCTGTAAGGTCACTACAAATCCTGCACCTGGGCTTATTTACAGTAGATCAGTTTCCAGTTCAGGTGTGAGGAGTGGATTATGCTCTGACTGGACCATTTGGGAGACTCTAAAGACCGAAGATACTGAGATATGCATGGCAAAAGCACCTAAAAGACCTTATTTGTACAACAGAACCAAACAGATCTTAATGAAACAAAGAAATAAGTCACTGCAATTCTATTGCAGTAATTGCAACTCCTTCAGTAGGTACTGAAGCACTCATGTGGTATTGGCAACTGAATTCTAGCCAGAAATCCTGACTTTTGGGTAGAAACAGATAAAAAAGTTGATCCAGTAACTGCAGCAAGAGGCAGGGTGTGGAATTCCCACCACGAACCAATGGCAGAGTAACAGCATGAAATCCTTCTCCTAAAGGACCAGCTCCTGTATTTTATGTTTTCTATCTTTGCATGAACAACGTGTTTTCCAGTACTTGCAGCAGCAGCCACAAAAACAACTGGCAAAGCAAACACAAGAATTCTCCAGAAAAACTGAGTGCCCTCCCTTGAAATGCACAGCGTGCCTCACGGTTTGGCGTGCACCCTGTGTGTGTAAAAAGCCAACTGGAAGACACCAACAATGTGCACTCAGTTAATCTGATCCAAGTAAAAGCTATCCTGATTCCCAAATGAGAAAAATACTTTGATGGATACTTTGCCAAACTGATTTGCTAATAGCATACCCCCCCCCTGCTCAGATAGGGGCTCCCTGAGGAACCCAAACCTCCTCTGACAGAGGCATTGCTTCAGAGATGCTGAGCAGCAGGGTCAGTGTGTAAGCTTCCCTTCATGCAGTGTCATGCTGTGGATGTACTTACACACAAAGGGATTTTAAACTCTTTCGAAGGCTTCAAGAATAAGCCAACATTGTCATGGTGAGATCACCCATAAAAGATAGGAAAAAAACGCAGTCTTAAGTAAGCACTTCAGAGGTGCTTCAATGGCAGAGAATATTGAGAATTTAGCATGAGGAAAGTGTCCTGCTATTTTTCAATTCCTTTCTCCCTCCCAAACACCTTAGCACTTAGGAATTTGTGTATTTATATACACACAAACATATGCTCATGTATGTATGAATACACATACAAAATTTGTACTAACTACTGCTGCATGAAAAATGAGTATTTTTTTATTTTTTATGACTAAATTGCAAGAGTATTTCTGGCTCCACTATACACAGATTAAGTGCAGTTGGGAAGCTGAAAACGGAGCAAGAAATATGACTGAGTTAGTGTAAAACAACTTCAAGTTCTTGGCTCCTCATCTGCAATTGAAGCACAAGTGGCCCATAAAAGGAACTTTTCATTTTCCTTTGACATGAACTTCTATGTGAGGGGAGAAAAAAAATGTCAGTATTTGCTTCAAACTTCAGAAATTGATTCAAATGCAATTACAGCTCCTATTCCTAGAGCATATAAAACTTATTAAGTTATTCTTGAACTCATCTCTTCAGATATTAAAATGCTTTATGAGGAATAAAACAGGCTAGAACAGTAAATTAAATGTTCAGTGACAGACATGAAAAAGACAAATAAATGGGATGTCCATCTTGGAAACAAAACTACTCTATACACAACTCTATCAGCTCTTTTATTTAAAATATTTCAGGAATATTTTTTTAAATAGACGAAAAAACTCTCTATATATTTATTTTATATAGAGGGCTATAAAAATATAAGGTATATAATATATCCCTACATATAAGGACGTAAGATCTATAGATAAGGTAAGTAATAGGTATATAAGATAGATAAATTTATCTTTTGTGCATGTGTATATATATATATGAGATTAAAAATAAAAGCAAATTTGTCTTGATTAGAAAAAGGTCCACACATTTCTTATTCTAACAGAACACAACCCAATGAAAATTTAAACCAAATGTACTGAGTGACTCAGCAACAGTCCAAAGGCTGGTTTACAAATCTCACTGAAAGATCATAAATTCTGACACCTTGACAACTGCTGGAAGTCAGAAAAAAGCCTGGAGGTGTCAATGTGGAAGAGCAACATTGCTTAATGCAGGTTTCTTGCAGCCAACAGCCCTGACCATTGACGAGAGAAAACTGGAAGTTACACTGGGGAAGTATTTATTTTAATTAAACTTATTCTGTTATTTACAAACAACTCTTCCCTACAACACTTCCTAATGCTTTGTCAGGAAAGACTTAGATGCCTACCATGACACAGTTTCCAACTTTACATTCTCTTACCACCATCTCTTTGCATCAAATTACAGCAATTCAATCCCTGTCCTTGATCTCTACCTTCTTACTGAACTTGTTTCCATCTGGATTATTAAAAAGTTCACATTTAACACAATTCAGAGGTATTAAATTTCCACATTATTCACTTAATTTTGTAATTTTCAGGGTTCTCCTTGTAACCTCTTGCAATCTGCACAAGTTTTGGATTTTGTATATTATTTGTAAAAGATGCTGTATCACCACTTAAGAAGTATAAAGACTGCATTAGTTCAGTATGAAATCTGGGGAGCACAAACAGAATTTGAATCTTAGTTTTATGAAGAAAACCATCTTAGAGAGTTGTCTGAATTCAGCTGCAAGGACGTAACATGGTACTCTGTTCTCACAACTGCTGTCTAACATGCTCAAGAGAGTGATAGGCTTTGACAGCACCAGACCACTCAGTTACAACACAGCCATAACCTATATTTGTCTCAAAATTAGCTGACATGCACAGAGGAAGCCAAAGGGTAAAGACAATCATGGCATCTTCTCACTCACTGCTGTCTTGCAAAGGAAACCTTCATACTCCAACTTAACAGTAGCATATTAATGAGTCTGTCAACGGCTAGATATCAAAACAGATTTTCTTTTAGATCACATTCAGAAAGTAATGGTCAGCATGAAAATATTCTTACAGTAAAAACGGCACACAGCTCATGCCCATCATGAATTAAGACATTTCAAAACCTTCAATAGTTATGTTGGCTGAGCATTTGATGCAGTACCCCAGAATGCACATGAAGCATCTTAAAGAGCATAGTATTTATCATTTACTTGTCAAAAAGTATTTAAGCATTTTTGTTGTAAATACAGTAATACTTCATTGAAGAAAAGATGAAGGCATCAAAAGCACAATAACTATGTTAACAATAAGCTTTCCTGTAGAAAGCTAAAAATAAAGAAGTAGATGTTTTCAACCATTATTGCTGCAATTTCACTTACAAAGAGCAGTGACTCTTCCACACTGGGGTCTTTTAGACAGATCTTTGGAATCTTAGATAAGATAACAATTTGAAAGGTAGACAGTCACTCTTACCTTCCATCTGCATAATCTGCATCTGCACCTCCCCACCAGACATCTGAATCATCATCTTCAGCATCAGCTGAATCAAGATTGTCACTTTCCTCAGCTAATGGGCAGCAAACGAACTCCACACCACGAAACTTGTCAATTCCACAAGGCAGCAGCATGCCATAGTCATGCAGATTCATGCTCTTCTCACTACAGGACTACAGAAAATAAAAACAGTTACAATATTGTCATGGAGGAAGATCGAAAAATGTCACAGACCTTGAGAAAACGTAAGGAGCTGTATACTGTCTTAGGAGGCTGAAGGTGGTGAACTGCATCATCTAAGAATTTTAAACCAAGATATAGAATGGTCACTTGTGCATTCACTACCTGCACTGTAGGTAGCTCCCCACCTGTGCCCGCATGACCATTCTAAGTAACAAGCTCTCCCTTCCCCTGTGCTTCAGTCTTTGCCAGTACAGAAAGTCTTGTGTCCTCCTATGTACTTGTAAACTTCACACCCTCTTGCCTAAAATCATCACAGGCTCTACATAATGAACAGAAAACTCAAAGGCAGAATGGTAATTTCATATAGTAAACCTGATCATGATGTATTAAGGCTATTAAAGAGTTAGTTGCAAGATATATTAACATTTAAAATATCTGATATACTGGAAACACACTGTATCTGGTCTGACACCTCTGGCAGCACAGAGTCTTCTATTCTTGTTTGGAAAAACAGTCATTTGTGCATAATAACACCTTAAAGAAACAGTGATGTAGGATAGGTGAAAAAAGGAATATAGCTCAATGGAGAAGAGTGATGATGTTCTCCTAGGCTATGCCATTCCAAGTTTGGAAGTACTTTAATTGGACTAGAATATGCCTCCATGAAGGCTGGTGCTTTAAACACTTCATCTGAGAGGCAACAGTAGGATTAAGGCAAGAACTGAAAATTTGAAAAGCTGCTAAGCACATTGCAATTTTCATCTCCAGAAGGTGGGACAACATACAAACTAAGAAGTTCCAAACAAGATAGCAGCCAGAAATATTCTTGATACTCATCTCAGTTTTTATTCCTACAACCTCTCCACATAAGGAGAAAAATATGCATTAGCAATTGTAAGATTTCTGTTTTCAGTAAAGCACTGGTAAATTGTAAAAACTCTGTGCTTGACTGCAAAATGTCTTTGGCTAATCCTGTGTTTTAACAGCTGTCCTACCCCTTTCTGCTGAACTTCACATATTGCATTCTTTTAGGCCAGTCTGAGCTCTGCAAAGCACTTGGCATACCAGTATACATATTGAGGACAATAATAAAGGCAAAGCTTAGGCATTAGTGATCAATCTTTAGTTCCAGAGCAGCATCAATACAGGAAAACATGAGCTGAAAAACAGTGCTATGAAACAGGGTTAAAGGTCAACATTAAGTATTCAGCTGTGGACTCTGGTGTGCTTCACAGTGTGATTCCCATTTCCACATAAAGCAGAACAAAAAGCCATTCAGTCGACCATTTTTAAGTACTACTTTTTGTTTTCCATATCATTGCTATATTTAAATAAATTCTCAGAAGACTGTTACCGTTCTCAGGAAGGAAGGCAAGAAATTTTAACACAGATGAATGTACCTCTTTAGCAACAGTATGCCAGTGCAGGTGAGTTTCACACACATCCATTCTTTCCTGGTGAAGGAATTTGCACTTGTCTGGTACCAGAAGGGCATCACTCACAAACTCACCCACTGAAAGGAAAAAACAAAACAGAACAAAACACAAAAATGTTACTTTTGCTTCCTGTACCTCACCCTTTTAAACCTCTAAGTAGGTATAGGGCCTCTGTTCTGAATGAGTGGAAGGGTCTGTTAGCAGAGAATGGGTAAGTTTCTAAGCAGTGCTTCCATTATCGTCCTCTTCAAACTTTCCATTTGAAAGCAGCTCCTGTCTTCGATCTCAGAGATGTATCAGATGATGAAAACTTTAGTGTAATATGCTAACTTCCATATACCAAGTGTGAAACTTGCAGGATGCATCAAAGACACGTGTGATGCAACATTAAGTCAGGAATTGGTGGATCCAGCTCCTGGAAGGGGAGTGCAGGGATGGGGAGCAACAGTTACATTTTGCATTTGAGTAGCAGTAGGGAGAGGTTTGAAGTGTTTTGAAATAATTCATTTTTCAACACAGAACACATTGTTTCCAAAAAATCATAAGTATTTCCACTGAATTACATCACTAAGAGCAACAGAGTCCAATTAGTTATTTTTGTTATTGAAGCCTCTTTATTGAAACCTCATTTTATCAGCCAGACAAATTTAGGTTAGCCCAGAAGGTTGATGAGCAAGTGGAGCTCATCAGCCAGAAAACAAGATGATTCATTAATCACCTGAATTTCTGGTCAGATTGATGTAGGGGAGAAAAAGGCTCTTATAGGATACAACTGACCAAAGAGATTGTGCTGTCTTCAGCAGTAAGACAAAAATTCGTATGCCAATGAAATGAACAATGCTCACAGCTTCAGTACTGATGAATAAGAAGAAACTCAGCTGATAAGTAACGTTTTATTAGACTAGTATCACTGTAATACTGTACCGTTCTAGCATTGAAACAAAATAATCCCAACCTCCCCCTTGTAATATTTTTTAAAGGAGAGATTACAGACTACTTTCAAGAAGTCTATATACTGAACAGACACTGGATGAAAGCACGAGTCAGTCAGCACAAATAATCAGCTCCCTGAAACATATTTGTCTGTAACCTCCAACAAACTACAGCCCGTGTCACAAATGAACAAACCAAGAGTGGCCCAATGACTGCATGAATGTAGAAACAAGTTAATTAATCAAAATGACATGAACTACAAGTTACTTTTCAGTAGACGGTTGTCTCAGGGAGGTGACAAAGTAGCCCTTGAAGTTTACAGTTAAAAAGTCAGTTCTAAAAATAATCAACACTCAATGCCTCAGGGGAAAGGAGAGTTCAGCAAATTGATGTAAACACCTTTGCTAATCACATTAATTTCTTTGCTGTATTTCAGTGCTTTTGATCTGAAGCCTTTAAAATCTGTCAGACAGCTTACTAGGAAAAAAAAGGACTTTGTTATCTTTGTTACTCAGTGACATACTTTAATGCCTGCAAATTGTTAACAGAAAGGCCAAAAGAAACTGGCAAAAGTAACTAGTTACAACACTTTCTGGTAACCCAAACTACAAAACCGGCAGCTTTTTTTAACAAAGTCTCTGCTCCCAGTGGTATCACACCCAAATCTCACACTGCAATTTGAATAAATTTGCACCTTGATTTTAACTGCACTTGTCTTTGTAGGGGACCATTCTGCCACATATCTAGTCGCTCATTTCATAATTCTTTCATTTAGCTGAATACCTGAGCACACAAGTGTTTTGCTGAAGACTCACAGAGTACATCAACTTTGCTCTTCTAGAACAGCTGACTTCACAGAGAACAGCAGTCAGACTTTACTGGCTGTTCAAGCATGCAAAACATAAGAGTCATCTTTATGGCAAAGATTTCTGAGAAACTGAGAAATAAAAAATAATTCTGGGGTGCATTTTACTCTGGCAAACTAGATCCTATTTCAGAAACACTGTATACAAGCATGTGTTTGAACTTGTGTCATCTGACTGCAGACATGCACAGACATGAGTCCAAATGCAAACATACCTGATAACCTTTGAATTAAGCTATTCTATGCACCTTAACAGCCTGCAGAATCATCAGAATATTGTGTGTGCAAAGTTCAAAGGCAATTAATAGTATGCCTCATTGCTCAAAAAATAAGCCTACATCATTTCAGCAACAGTAACAAATTTGGCTGCAACATTTGGAGTTACAACCACCAAATCTAAGAAGCAAAGCTGTATTTCCAAAGCTCTGGGCAATGCAGCCTGGGCTGCAGTGTTATTAAAAGTATGTATGAAGATGCAATTAATTTATTTTTTTTTAAATCACCTTTTGAGTGTCTGTATCAACCAATCCATATCAATACATTGAAGAAACACTATACATTAAGATACAACTGAAAGTAAGATATTAGGTTTGACTTTTATACACAAAACATGCATCTGCTTTATAAAATCAGAATCCTTGGAAGTAAGTTAACAGCTTTCTCACAGTAACCAAAATTCACATTTTAACTGCGGCTTCATTTTGCAATCAGTTGCTGAATTTCACAGAAATAAACAATCAATTGGAACACCATTGGTTTTCAGAAGGAAAGGAGGAGCTGGGGAGAAGGGTGGTTGTTTAATGTAGCACTCCTTCATTACATAGAATTACAATAAATTCTTTAGGGTTGTGAAAACCTGGGCAATAACAATCACTTGCAACTTTGCCTGTGGTTCCTATTGCCTTCAATTTAATTTTTATTACACATAAAAGGCAATTCTGTCCATTATTTACACATACACAGAGCTCATGTCATGGAATTTTTTTTCATTATTTCTTTATAATTATTACTGTAGTTTAAATGCAAAGCTTTACACTTTTACTCGATTTTTGTTGTTGTTGTTTGAAGTAAATTAATATTCAAGTGTCCTAAATTCAGTTCACTTGACAACTGTAATATGTGTTTTGCCTGGGCTAGTCTAATAGAGAAACAATTCCATCAGAAAGAAACACTTCAAACACTTCAGACTTGTAGACAAGCTTCTACCTGTATTGCTCCAGTACACATTTAACTTTTAATGCTACTAAATGATAAGATTTCAGGGATTCTTTTGAACAAGAATCCCACAGACTACATAGAAAAAACATGCATGTTTGAAGGGAGATCAATCCTGTGCCTCCTAAGAGAGGGGGCAATGTATATGGGCCCTAAGAGTAAGGAAAAATTATAATACTTCTGTTTGCCAGCACAAGTCATGAGCAAGGTAGCTGTGAACTGGTACCTTTTTTGACTGACAGAGCATCCCAGACCAGCACTGGCTGTAGTTTCCACTGTCAGGTGCTGGGATAGCAACATATAATTCAACTCCATTATTATTTTTTCCTTCCAGTACAGCAACATACCAACTTACCCCACACCAGGCTGTCCTCAACACCCTGCCTGTGAGGCTCAACTCAGATGTGCATTTCCCCAAGTAGCAGCACTGCCTTAAAAGTCTCCCTGGCCCTGTGCTGGCCCCTTGTCCTTAGCAGCACTTTATCCCTCCTCATCTTGTGTTTTGAGTACAGCTGTACAGCTGCTCTGCTGAAGTACTCTAATAATAAACCATGATGGCACAATTTGTCTTTGGGTGGTTTCATAAATCACTAAACTCCTTCAAGTGATCCAATATGCATGTACAACAGCTTTTTTTCTAGTAGGTGCTTACCCAGGGAAGGGCTGGACAAAACTGGATCACTCTGGCTTCAATGGATTTCTGACCCATCTGGAGAAAACTGCCCCAAAGGGGAGTTCTTGGCATATTCCCATGTTTAAAAAACACTGCTCTTTACCTAGGTTCATTAACCTGGAGGCCGACTACCTTCTGCTCACTCTTTTAAAAGAGTTGCTTGTTGCTAACTCAAACCTACCTCTTTTTACTGCACATCACTGGAACACAGATAGTGTCAATGTAGCAAGTCATAGTTTAAATTATTTTTTAAAATATCTTTTTTTGTGTGTGTTTTTCCCCCCCCTCCTAATGCCAGTAATTCCTTTGCTGACACACAGTTCTTCTTTATGTTTGTAGCAGACCTCTTCATATTCCTCCCCCTTGCTGTACCACAACAGGGTAGCGGTTCATGTTTTCTCAAAGACAATTTTGCCTGAGGTTATTATGTCACATTTTACTATTAAATAATTTTATTTCAATCAAGCACGATCTATTCTCTGAAAAATAATCTTGGAACAACAACAGATCTTGTGCTGTAAGACCAGATGTTCTGGTTCAGAAATCTCATTTTTCAACAGAGCAAAGACTAAGACGAGCATTAAAAACCATCTTCAAATAAAAGAATTAGGATTATAGTGAAAGCAACTGATCACAGACTCTTTGAAATCTTCTCTAGGAAGAATAAAGCTCAGCAAGTGGGCATGCTTGTAAGAAAATGACTGCCCTATCTGTTTAAAGGCAGATATATCAGAGGAAACTAACTAAAAATAAAAATGCTATACCCTGTCCTGATCAGCAGATTTTTCCATCCACTGCATAAATGAGATGGGATGTGAGGATCCATCCAACATTGCACAGAAGACAGCAAAGATAAGATAATAAAGGTAATAAAACAAAATCTGTGACAAAACCAAACAACTGCTAACAGATGGTTAGGATTCCAACCAAAAAATAAGCATGTTCCAATTATGTTCAGAGGAAGACTTTCAAACAAAGCCTGTGCTAAATTTTGCATGAGGAGGCAGAATACATGCCGTGCCTCTTGGACTCAAAGCTTCATTTTCCATGTCACTGATGAGAACAAGGGCCTTGCTAAAATGAATTTATAAGCTCAAGTGCTTGCACAATACATATCTGAGAACATTCAGAGAAACGTCTTTTCCCTGTGACTTGGCATAGATTTTTCCTGAGCCACCACACAGTCAGCATAGCACAGAAAGGAGCAGATCAAACCTGCCTCTTTCCCCATCCTGCTGCTGTGGGGCTTTGCTCTGCCCTGCTCCCCAGCACAACAGCTCAGCTCCCCACATCTCTGCAAGCTCCTGTTCCTACCGAGGCACATTTATTGATTATCTATTGCATTACACATACATTATTACATTTATTTAAGCAGCCATATAACTTTAGGT